CAGAGGTGTGCGTCCACCTGGAGTGACTGCCCAAGGGTAAACCTCAAACGGGAAGTCAGGGTAGGGGTTTGGAACATCCGCTATTTGCCGTCTACTTGGTCCGTCCTCTCGGTCGGTCCATCCACTGCTCGGTCGGTCCGTCCTCTGCTCGGTCGATCCGTCCACTGCTCGGTCGGTCCGTCCTCTGCTCGATCGGTCCGTCTTCTGCTGGTCGGTCGTCTCTGCTCGGTCGGTCCGTCCCTCTGCTCGGTCGATCCGTCCACTGCTCGGTCGGTCCGTCTTCTGCTCAGTCAATCTATCCTCTGCTCGGTCGGTCCGCCCTCTGCTCTACTATCGAGGGAACTGGGGAGGCTGAGAGTTGAGGTGGCTGCTCTCTCAGAGGTGAGACCTGGCAGCTCGAGTCTATTGGTGAATGCCCGAGGACAATACAGAAGTTCATCTCGTAGGAGACACTAGAAGCCACAGACGCTTGCTGTGCAGCTCGTCTGATAGGGGATGAGGAGTTGCGCCGTTCTCAGGTGCATAAAACTCGGTCTCTGTTAAGAAGGGACAAGGAACAGTTTATTAGGAGTTTTGCTGAGGAGGTCGAAGGCCATTTCTTAGTAAATGACCTTCGTCCTGCATACCAAGCCCTGAGAAAGCTGAACTCCAAGCACTCTTCTCAAATGACAGCAGTTTGCTTAGTAAGTGGCCAGATTGTCTCAGATCCTGTTGCGGTGGAGTATTTTGAGCCGGACCTACCCATCAGTGAGGATCCACGCTCCCTAACTAAAGTTAGGAAGGCGATCTCCAAGTTGAAGAGTGGCAAAGCAGCTGCTATTTGCAGCATCCCAGCTGAACTGTTAAAGGCTGGTGGTGAACCTATGGCATGACGGTTGCATGCTGTCCTGGCTGCCATCTAGCGACCCAGTACCGTTCCCCTTGACCTGTTGAGGGGTGTGGTCATCCCTCTCTGGAAGGGGAAGGGGGGTCGATGGGACTGCAGCAATCACCGAGGCATCACACTGCTCAGTATACCAGGCAAGGTTCTTGCCCACATCCTTCTGAGACGTATCAGAGACCACCTACTGAGGCATCAGAGACCGAAGCAATCTGGATTCACTCGTGGTAAGTCCACAATAGACTGTATCCTTGCGTTTTGAGTCATTGTAGAGCACTGTCTTGAGTTCGGGCGTGGGTTGCTTGCAGCCTACATCGAACTCAAGGCGTTCGATATGATGCATCAGGAATCACTCTGGGAGATCCTGAGACTGAGAGGAATTCCAATAAGGATTATTGAACTAATATCAAGGCTGTATACTGGTACTGAAAGTGCTGTAAAGTGTAGTGGGGGCCTGTCCTGTTAGTTCAGGAGTGAGGCAAGGCTGTCCTTGCACCAACTCTTTTCAATACTTGCATGGACTGGATACTGGGCAGAGCTATTGTTCAAAGTCATTGTGGAACAACTCTGGGCAATATCAAGGTTACAGACCTTGACTTTGCTGATGTTGCTATTCTATCTGAGTCTTTGGAAACCTTAGTGGTGGCTCTGGATGCGAAGCCCTTGGGTCTAGAGGTCTCCTGGACCAAGACCAAGATCTAGGATTTTGGGTACTTGCGAGGAGAACTTGTTCGGTCGGCTCGTGCTTGCGGCAAGGAGATTGAAGTCACGGAAAGCTTTACATACCTTGGTAGTGTAGTTCATAACTCTGGGCTGTCAGACCAGGAAGTCAGCAGACGGATTGGCCTGGCGGCAGGAGTCATGAACTCTCTCTCGACAAGAGTATTTGGAGATGCCAGTACCTGTGCAGAAGGACCAAGCTACTAGTTTTCAAGGCCCTGATAATGCCAGTTTTGCTATACGGTAGTGAAACCTGGACAATATCCTGTGCTTTGGAGATTCGTCTTGATGCCTTTTGTAATAGGTCCTTGCACTGGATCATAGGGTACAGTTGGCAGGATCACGTATCCAACCAATAATTGCACCATGAGACTGGCACAAGACGTGTTACCTGTGCAATCCGTGATCACCAACTCAGGCTATACGGCCTATACGTTTCTTTTCCTATCAGGTTGTCTCTGCAAGAGACAACCCTGGGTAGTCGTG